TTTGTAATCCATGTAGTTCGAATGTATAAACACCACAGGATGAAAAGAGAAACACATATTTACAGCCCAACTCAAAATATTGTGGTCTTTCTTCTCTAAGACATTCTAGAATATTCAACATAAACCCCATTTACATTTCAGATTGTTCTCTGAAAGCAGCACCAATGTGCCATGTTGTCGTACAATGAAAATCAGACCAAACATCCAGGAGTCGTACTCACCTCCTCCCTTTTTCTCAGACTCAACACCCAATCAACCCATAAATCCTATTAGCTCTACTTTCAAAACTCGTCCTGAGAGTTCACTATATCTGCCCTGGGTCTCTGAGTTCAAGCTACTTTCCCAGGAACTTGTGGAATTTTGCAGTTGTCTTTCATCTAATTTCTTGGCTTCTGTTATTCCTCCATTCTGTCTCCATTTGACTTAAAATATTTGAAATATTTAAATCAGATCACATTATTCCCTTCCTCGAAAACTTCCAATGGCTTGTCAGCACCAGTGGCCTATGCAGTCCAGTGTAATGTGGCCAGACCTGATTCTCTAGTTCATGACCAAATCTCTCCCTACTCTTTTGACTCCATCCACACTGGCCTCCTTTCCCTTTCTTAAATCCATGAAGCTCATTCTTACCTTGTGACCTTTACACTTGCTGTTCCCTCTGTCTGGAAGGCTTTTCTCCTCAATCTTTGTGTGTAGGAGCCTATACCAATGTCATCTCCCCAAAGAAGTGATCTCTAGCCATCCTATGTGAAATTGTCACCTCCAGCCCTCAACAGCTGTTCTCTTCCCTCTTATCCTGCTTTATTTATTTTCACTTAAACTTTTTTTGTGTGAGGAAGATCAGCCCTGAGCTAACATCCACTGCCAATCCTCCTCCTTTGTTTCCCCAAAGCCCCAGTAGATAGTTGTATGTCATAGTTACACATTCTTCTAGTTGCTGTATGTGGGGTGCAGCCTCAGCATGGCCAGAGAAGCGGTGCGTCGGTGTGCGCCCAGGATCCGAACCCAGGCCGCCAGTAGTGGAGCGCACGCACTTAACCGCTAAGCCGCGGGGCCGGCCCCTCACTTAAACTTTTTATTTTGAACTAATTTTAGACTTAGAGAAAAGTTGAGAAAACAGTGCAAAGAGTTCTCCTATATCTCCTTTCCCATTTTCCCTAACGTTAACATCTTACATAGCCCTAGTACAATGATCATGAACAGACAAATTAACATTGTAACAATATTATTAACTAAATTGCAGATCTTATTCAAATTTCACCAATTTTTCACTAATGTCTTTTTGTTGTTCCAGGATCTTGCTTAATTTTGTCATTGCACTTATCACCATACGAAATTATATTATTTGGTCATTTTTATTTGTTTGTTTTCCATCTTCCCACCAGAATGTAAGCTCTGTAAGGGTGATGAATTTGTCTCTTACTTGTCACCAGTCCTCAATGTTTAGGAAATTGCATAGCATGTAGAAGGTCCTAAATATTTGTTGATCAGAGGAATGAATAAATGCTCTTGGAAGGCAAAGCTGATACGGCTCGTATATAGTTTTATTACTTCACGCATCTTGATAAGAAACAAATGCCCATGGGGTTGAAAAAGGAGTGATGCTAGGAAGGATAGTTCTTCTGCCTTTGCTAGGAGCTGCTTACTTCTCCATTATTTTTGAATGCTTTTGTGTATATCAAATATTTAGCAACTGGTGACGAAAGGTGAGAAGGTTCTAGTAAATTCTGGATTCCACCAATCAATGGTAGGATCATATGCTAGCTGTGACACCAATCACAATTTACAGTATATGGTAAAAAATCCTGAAGAGATTGCCAACACAGAGGAAGAAAAATTGCTTCTGGGGCATAAAGTGTTGTATACCTGTCTTTAGCTACTCCTGTCATCAGTGTGACCTTGGATGTCTGTATGTAGAATACAAAACTATGATCCCCTTATAACCTAATATCACTGAGCATTTTCAGAAGATTCTTTGGTTTAAATTTGGCATTTGCTTATTACAGAGTGCAAAAAGTCATCTGAAATTTGATCATGACTTCTGGCAAATGAAGTTGTTTTTTCTTTTTCTTTCTTGTTTTCTATAAGTTAAGGGGAAGGGAAAATGGTCTCTATATAAGTGGTACCATTAAATACGACTGACATTCAGAAAGTCAGCCTTGATGGTAAAAATATGTGTTGGCTTTTGTACAGAAAGACACACAGGAACAAAACAAGAAATGCCTCTTTGTAAAGAAGACACACCAAAGTTAAGGGGAGAGGTTTACTTTTCTTCACTAGAAAAACATGAATCATTTCACAAAATCTGCTCTTTAAATCATATCGAATTTAAGATTTCTTTCTTTTGGGTTAGAAAAAGAATTTTAGACATTTCCTATGAGAAAAAGAATTATTTGTTTCACCACTCTGTTTGTCCAGTCAGGCTTTTGTTACACAAAGAAGGTTACCCAAAGGTAAACTGTGAAGCAACTTGTACTAATTATTGTTTCAACATGTATTGATTCACAATCAAAAAGGAGATTCAACATTTTAAAAGAACCTGGTAAAATTTTTCTAATAAACATCTCTTAATTTGATAATTTTTGCTTTGCCTAAAGAATGTACTCTAATTATTGTGAATTACTCAGCTTGCAACTTCCAACCCCTGAGGCAAGTTCCTGAGCCTTTCCCTTTTCCCCGTGCTTCTAGCAGGGCTCTTAATCAGTGTGGGTGTGCTGGGTGCGATGCAGAAGGAGTCCACACAAATTACTGGGTCCAGTGGATTGGGAGGGCACCCAGGCAAATCCTATGTAAGATTTTTTTTTTTAAATTTTTTTTTATTTATTTTATTTTTTTCCCCCAAAGCCCCAGTAGATAGTTGTGTGTCATAGTTGCACATCCTTCCAGTTGCTGCATGTGGGACGCGGCCTCATCGTGGCCGGAGAAGCGGTGCGTCGGTGCGCGCCCGGGATCCAAACGCCGGCCGCCAGCAGCGGAGCGTGCGCACCTAACCGCCAAGCCACGGGGCTGGCCCCTATGTAAGATTTTTAGCTAGACTGCCCTTGCAAGGAGGTCCTCCAATATTTTCTCCACCAGGAGAAAACCCATTCTTGGTGTCCTGCTTTTCAGATGTGATGGCCTCAATTGTCGGAATCAACCTTGGATTGTCACACAACCAGCATCTGCTCCTGTCCATTTGACTTGCAAAGCCTCTTCCCAGAATCTGACCTCTTTCCTTGCCTCCCCATCCCTGTTTGCTCTGAGCTCATGCTTCCCAAATTTGCTTGTGAGAATTGCCTGAAGCACTTATTAACATATGAATTGCTGAGCTCCATTTCGAATCCTCTGTCCACACAATTCACACCCCTCTCATATTCAAAATAAACTCACACCCTCCTCAAGGCTCCTCAAATCTCATCCCGTTATGGCATCAGGCTCACGATCCTATAATTTAAATCAAGTCCAAGTGCATGAGGCTCCTCAATTGCAGTTCCTTGAGCACAATCCTCTAATACAGTTTTTCTCAGTCTGAAGGCCTGTGAACAAAGGCGACAAGTTATCTGTTTCCCACACACTCAACCTACAGTGGTGAGATAAGCATAGGATAAATGCTCTGGACACTCCCATTCAAAAAGGAAGAAAATGGAGGACATTCTTCAGTCCCTGGTCCATAACAGTTCTGAAATCCAGCTGGGCACGTTTACAATTTCCTTGATTAGGGCTTAGTCTTCCACCCTAGAAATGGTTCTCCTTGGCTCTTGGCTCTGCCCTCTGAATTATCTTTCCTCTTCAATGAGAGTGGTTCTGTGTTTGCAGCTGAGTAGTATTCTTAGCCTGTTACTTGCAAGTAATATTCAGGGCTCAAAAGCCATCTTTTAAAAAATTTTGCAATGTCTCTTTTCATCCAAGCTTTTAGTCCAAAAGACATTGAGGTGAAGAGAAATGCACAAGCTGCTGTGGATGGAATGAAGAGTGGAGGAGTGAATTGGTAGAAGATGATATAAGAGAGGCTATGGCAAGTTTAGGCACTGAGCTAGAGTCTGAACCTTATCCAATGAGTGTAATACCGAAATGTTAATTTCTGCTACTTATTCTCTTTTGCTATAACTTTCCTGAAAGCATTCTTACTGCTTGAAAATATCTATTGCTGTGCTCAGGGGAGGTATGTTTATAGTGTACAGTAGTTTTAAAGTTCATCTTAGTTGAATTTTGACCACAAGATGCTATCATATGTGTGCTTTATTAATATTCCTAAAATGTCCTATGGACGCAGAGGATTTTCCAGGTAATTGCTTTATGCCCGTTACATGTGTGTTTCACATCCCAGATTGACATTTAATTTTAAATGAAGCCCTCTTTAGAAGGGGACATAAATAATATTTTTAAGTAAGATGATCTCCATTTTATTATGTAAGTGCTTTTGAATCCCAATTGGGAATTGGGATTCCCAATTGGGATCCCAGTAGTCCCCCCTTATCCACAGGGGATACGTTTCAAGACCACCAGTGGATGCCTGAAACGAATAATGGTATCGAATCCGAGACATAGTATGATTTTTCCTATACACACAGACCTATGATAAAATTTAATTAATAAATTAGGCACAGTAAGAGATTAACAACAATAACCAATAATAAAATAGAACAACTATAACAATATACTGTAGTAAAAGTTACAGTAGATCTTAGCAACTTCGGCATATGATGTTTTTTCTTTCCTTATTAAAGCAAGAACTTTCACCTTTTCACTTAAAGGAAGGATTTTATGGGTTCTCTTGGGCACATGCGAATTGCCAGCATCACTAGTCTTGCACTTTTGGGCTCTTATTAAGTAAAATAAGGTTACTTGAACACAAGCACTGTGATACCACAATAGATCTGATAACCAGCTACTAAGTGATCAATGGGTGGGTAATGTATACAGCATGGATCCGCTGGACAAAGGGATGATTCACGTCCTAGGTGGGATGGAGCAAGATGGTATGAGATTTCACCACCCTACTCGGAACGGAACACAATTTAAACTTTCGAAATGTTTATTTCTGGAATTTTCCATTTAATATTTTCGGACCAAGGTTGACTGTGGGTAACTGAAATCGTGGAAAGTGAAACCCTGGATAAAGGGGGACTACTGTGCTGTTTCTATTTGAGAATTGCAGTTCTTGAATTCTAGTACAGCTTCAACTAACAGCCTACGTTTTCCAGGGGAGTACAAATTCTGTTAATAGACTGTAATAAGAGAAACAAGGCCAATATGAGTTTAGGTGCCTGAAAATACATAAAAGTTTCTCTTTCATTCTAAATTTTCATGGATTTAAAGCTTTAAGCTTGCAAATATTTATGACTATGTTATTATTTTTTTTAACCAATAACTTGACCTGGTTGAGAAAATTTAGGTTTTTAAAAACATTTTTGTCTAAGCTGTCTTAGATTGCAAGTTTATAAAATATTATTACCTTTAAGAGTCCTTCTGTTAATAGCTATACAATATTTTTAGTCAAAATGTTGAGCAAAAGAGGAAAAGCTGAGAACTGTCAGATATTTTATTCCCCTGAATTAATCATTCCAAGGAATAGCTCTAGGATGTGAATAATGCATTATAATTCTGCAACAGATAACTTCACATAAAGTACACAAAGATATGAACAAAGGGAAAAAATAAGGAAGCTAACAGAACTGCATTAGAAACAAATGGGTAAATGAATACTGAAATATCTTTCATTTAATTCAATTTAACCACTATTTTTATTGAATATTTGCTCTATTTGCTGAGCTCTGTGAGGAAAATACAACTGAACAGGATATGATCCTTGCCTTTTAGGAGGTTATAAACTGCTATGTGGATGTGGGGTGGATGTTATAATTCTTGTAATTAGCGCAATAATCATGTACGCCCTGAAATGACAGCCTAAGAGATAATTCCTAGTGAAGGGTTCAGGGATTCTTCCGAGAGGAGACAGGATTTGAGCTTGATGGCAAATAATGTGTCCAATTTGGGCAGACAGTCTATGCAGATGTGAGAAGAAAAGGCAGGTGGATACACAAATATAGGATGTCTTCTCGGAAGGCTGAATAGCTTATTTTGTTGAAATGGAGAAATATCAAGGAATGAATTAGAATGGTAGATTGTAACTAGATCCTACAAGATCTGGAATGCCAAATAAAATTACCTTTTTTTTTTTCCCTGTAGGATCTGGCATGTTATTGAATATTTGGGGGAAGCTGGGTTGCATAATCAGATGGTAATTTTTAAGAATATGTATTTGACAGCTCTGCGAGTGATTGGTTAGAATTGATAACATGGAGTTAAATTTTCTACTCTTAGAGACTTAATCTGATTCATGTGTTTATTTTTAGAATACCAAGAAGATTGCTCTATGCATAGTTTTGGAGAGGGTTAATAAATTTATTTTGAATAAATAATGGATAAAAAGGCTAAGCTCTATTAAGCAGCTCTATTTCAATATCTGATTACTTATGAATGAATTACATAGGTTATAGAATATCAACAAATTATAAAAGTACAGTGTTTTAAACTTGGAAAATGTCACCATGTCACAACAAAAACAATAAGCTGAGTTTTGTTCATCTTTATTTAGCTATACCAGGAGTGGGCACACTTTTTCTTAACGAGTCAAAGTAAATATTTTAGATTTTGTGGGTCATATGGCCATGACTACTGAACTGTGTTGTTGCAGCCTAAAAGCCACCATAGACAATATGTAAATGAACGAGAGTGGTTGTGTTTCTATAAAATTTTGTTTACAAAAACAGTCTGTGGGCTGTATTTGTCTCATGCACCACGGTTTTCTAACCCCTGGTTTACACCCCAACTTCTTTTTTTTAGAGAATTGATGTTGGTATATGAAGATGTAAACGGTAAATAAAATAAAATGCATTAAGACTAGCTAAGAAACAGGCATGAAGTCTCAATTATTTAAGATGAATGAGTTCTAGGGATCTGCTGTATAACATTGTGCCTATAATTAACAATATTGTAGTGTACACTTGAAAATTTGTTAAGGTAGACCTCATGTTAATTGTTATCACAATAAAATAAAATAAAGTAAAATGATAGCTAAGGAAGATGAGGTGATATTATTTTATTTTTTTCTAGTATATTTTTAACTTTACTTTTAACGTTTAAACCTTATTCATTTGGAAGTTTTGCAGGTGAACATCGCAAAGTTGAGATTTATCTATTCTAAACGGACAGCCAACTGTGGCACTAATATCTATTTAATAATCCACTTTCCTCATACTTATTTGTATTCTACATTTATTAGACATAGATTTTCCTCTACTCATGAATAATTCAAGTTCTAAAAAGGTGTGTGAGTCCAGATGACACAATTCTAGCGACCATTAATGACATCTGTTGTCATGCTTTCGCTTTGGCACTCAGCTTTGTTTGTGTCTAAGCACTTTTTTAAAGGTCAAAATTCATAAATAGAGGATTCTGTCCATAAACTTCCATACGTACATAGATCTTTCACACCAAACACCAAAATAATTTTCAGAAAAATTTATATAATAAATTATTTAAAAATGAAAGAACTATAAGTAATTCTGTGGCGAGAATGGTCTTTCTAAACATAATACTAGGGAAAGAAAATATAAAAAGTGATTATGTTTAATTATATAAATATAGGAAATTTCTATATGGTAAAAAAAAAAGAACTTACAAAAACACACATAACAAAGTTAAAGAACAGCTGCCCCAAATATTTGCAACTAATTTGACAGAGACTTAGTACCTTTACTCTCAGTGTAAGGGGTAGCATAGTGTCATGCCTGCGCAGAAGGATTTTGAAGCCAAGCTAGCCCTGGGATCTCTTAACTGCTTTGTACCTCAATTTTCTTATCCATAAAGCAGGAATAATAACTGCTCACAGGACGGCTGTGAGTTTTAAAATGAGTTAATATATGTAAAGTGCTTACATTATTATTATTATTGTTTTTTGCTTTACTAACAATTACTGCTGTTTATATTGGGTGTGTATGGATAAGAAACTTATTTTTTATTTTATTACTTTTTTTCGGTGAGGAAGACTGTCCCTGAGCTAACATCTGTGCCAATCTTCCTCTATTTTGTATGTGGGACACTGCTACAGCATGGCCTGATGAGTGGTGTGTAGGTCCACACCTGGGCTCCGAACCCGCGAACCATGGGCCGCCGAAGTGGAGTGTGCGACCTCAACCACTACACCACCAGGCCATCCCCAAGACAACTTACTTTTTAATTTATAAGTCTGTGGATCAAGAAGAGCTACATTTAGGATCCGATGTAGAGACTACTGTGTACCACCTTGTGGTCTCAGACTACTATTAGTATTATTGTATTAGGAATACTAGTAGTAATTAAGAGAAAAGTGGTCACTGAAGCCACAAAGTGGAAAATAATAATCCTAATCAATTTACATAAGGAGAAATGCAAATGGTTACTAAACATAAAATATTCAATTTTACTATTAGTCACAGAAATAAAGATAAAAATAGTAATGAGCTACCATGCCATTAAAAAAAGAGTGATACCAGTATTTGGCTAAAATTGAAGAGGTTAAAGCTTGATTTAGCTTTTAATCCCAGTCTGATGGGAACATAAAAGTATAGCCTATCCAGAGGCAATTTGAAAATTGAAATTTAGACAATTTGAAAATATACATCAAAAACCTTTGGACATGAACAATCTTTGCAATATTGGATATTACAAAACCATGAAAACATATAAGAGGAAAAATCTTTGCTTAATATTGCTAACAAGAAAGACTCAATTTATGAAAAATAGTATGCATAATACGATTCAATTAATATGAGAAATAATATGGATGTGGATACCCAGAAAAAGCATAGAAAGAGTTATAGTGGTTATTATTGAGGAGTGAAATGTTGTGTTTACGTTTCTTTCCTTTCCTCTGCTTTACTATTTATTAACTCTTCTTTATTCAGTCTATTAGTCATACAAACTTTTAGGAGGCTGTTGCTGTGGTCTAGATCGGAGATTATAAACTTTTTCTGTAGAGGGCCAGATAGTAAATACTTTAGGCTTCATGTATCTTACAGTGCCTGTTGCAACTATTCATCTCTGACTTTGTAGTATGAAGGCAGCCAGAGACAAGTCAATAAAACTTTATTTACAAATACAAGCAGTGGGCAGGATTTGGCCTGTGCACTCTAGTTTGCCAATTCATGGTCCAAACGAGAAAACAGGAACTTACTGTGAAAGTGACATATTAGAAAGGTGGGAATAGATTCTAGAGACATTGCTGAGGTGGAATTTACGTGTCTTGAAGACAGTCCATAAAGCTGAAGGAAAGGGGAAGAGTTAACTGTGACTTTTAAGTTTCAATTTTAGACATTGATGTTGAAGAATATTGAGTGCTGGCTGTCAATCATCATAGGGAACTCAAGAGAAGAATCAGATTTGTGAAAAACATGATAGAATCCATCTGTGACACGGTGAGTGACATGCTGAGTTTGCAGGAAGTCATTTACCCATGTGGGCCTGGTGTTCAGGGATGAAGTGAGGTAAGGAGCTGAGAATTTAGATGTATCGGTGCACTAGTGATAATTTGATAATAGACACCATGAGAATTAATGAGATATCGGCAATTTAAAAAGTCAGTGACTCAGAGGGGCTTTGGGAAACCCATATTCTATCTCTGAAGATGCGCTGAAGTATGTAGGACATTTGGATCATTCACCATAGTCTACCCTCCCCCTCTTCACTCTGGAAGTGGGAAAGATAGCTCTAGAAACTGAGTTCTCACCCCCGAAAAGGTCTCCCTGGGAAATTGAAATACTGCCTTGTTAGTCCACAAAAGCAAAGGGCTACATCCAAATCAGATATAAAAGCTGCCTATTTTTAGGATTTTATCCTAGGAAGCCAACCGACTGCTGTATGATTGAAACAGACAGAAGCTATTTCCATTTCAAGAAATTTATTATAATGTATCTTGCCCTATTAAGGAGTTAATTAAAGGAGGTGTTTTTGTTTTCTTTCATTAAAAAAATGTATGCAATTTAGGCATCTTGTTGAATCTCACTCAGGCAGTTGACTAGAAATGGGTATCCTATTTGGAAGTAGAATGGTTTAGAAAACAAAACCAAAAGACAAGAAAACTTGCATGGAATTTAG